GCAGATCTTGGAGACAAGCCCAAAGTCAGGGCCTGAACTTCTGGGAAGATTCTACAGCCCTCAAGGGACTGGTTTTTCAACTGAAGCAAAGAACAATAACCACTTCAGATAAGTTTGTTAAAGGCAGGCCAAGGAGGAGGGAAGAAAGGGGCTTGGTGGCACATACTTCCCTTATTAGTGCAGGCTTGCCCTCTGGGGGCAGGAAAGGGATGTTTGTAGGTTAGGTGGCAAGTGACTGGGCACATACCCAATTTGGTGAATGTTTCCAATTTCTTTCATTCTCAGTAGGACATTTGGCTAGTTTGGAGTCAAATTTCTCTCAGTTTCACATTTCTTACAAAAACAATTTGATCTGAAGGGTGAGGAATCACTTGGTAATAAGAGCTATTAAGAAAAAATACAGTCTTCTCTACATTTTACAACTGACCTTCCCTTAAGCTGGCACGTGATATCCTCTTAAATGCCTAGAGAAAATCAACAAAAATGGACATCTTCCAAAGACTTAACATATAGCACTTCAGCTAAAAAGTAAAATCCAAAAATTCAACCTGGTTTGTTTGGAAAATTTGCTTTTCATTTACTGATGTGTTCAGAGATTAACCTTTTGTGATTAAATTCTGGTATTATTGTGTTAGGTCAGAGACCAAAACACTGAGACTTCTACTATTACTTCTTGGGCATTGTTTATGCTATCTAGATGAGTTAGTGTATAATCGATTTGTGTATATTTTATGTGCACTGGAATTTTAGATTATCAGTTTATAGGGATATAAATGTAATATGTATTTTTTAACCACCTGTATTAGTTATATTGTTCACATCACCTATAATCTCACTTATAATTACATGTACATACATATACATATGTATACATTGGTATATATGGCATTTGTTCTGACAAAGAATTGTTAAATAGGCACTCATTCTTTTTGTATTTTGACTTTATTCTTGCATTCTTGAGCTCCTAGTTTTGCTTCACTTCTTGGTTAATTGTGATGTGTCTGCAAATAATTTTATCAGGTAGGATCGATATATCATTAGCATACTTTATAAGCTTCTGTTTAGCAGAATATATATTCCTATTGCTCTCCCACAATTGGCAAGTCTAAAATTCTAGGGTCTCAAATCTGTTCATTGAGGGAAAAAAACCACATTGCTTTATTGTCTACTGGCACTTAAGGTTATAAATGAGAAACTGAGCTAAATCGATGTTTGTTTCTTTGCAGAAAACCTATTTTTCTTATTTGGATCATAATTGATTTTTGTCTTTACCCTGGTTGTTTCTCATTTTCCAAATGTCCAGTATGTGTCATTTCTTTGACTTCACATGGGACATGTAGAAAATGTTCTTTTATTATAATTTTATGTCTTCTCTACTTTGCCTAGGGTTTCATTCAGAAATAATAATGATTTGCAAGTCAGTCATCTATCTCTATTTATTTGTCTTTAGTGTTTATAATGCTTTTTCCTCAGGTTGTTCTCCTCTTTTCATATATTGTCTCGGCATTCTGGAAAAAAAAGCAAATTTGTCATCATGTTACTGATAACTTTTTTGGTACATCAGTTCTGTTCTCCTCCAAGTAAACTTTACTGCTGCTATTATCTTTTAAGAGTCCTTGAAATTCTATGTTATCTCATTTAAATTATTCTAATCCCACATTACAACCTTTTAATCTCAATCTGTTCTCATTATGGCTGTCTGCTCATGTTTCATCTAGACCATGTCTTTTTCATCTGTGTTGAATATACCAAACTATTTACCCATGTTTTCTTTGGCATCATGAATGGATGATTTGTAGAAATATCGTCCTTTTTTATTTTCTCTGACAATATGCCAAATGATCTATTTGGAAGTTATTTTCTCTCATAGTCACTACTCTGTTTGCTTACTATTTTTGTCCATCCTTAAAGAAAGGTGAGATCTAGTAACTCCCCATATTGATTTTCAGACAGGGTGAATGGATAGCCCTTTTCCTGCTCTATGTCCATTTGTCAATTTGCCTTCTCACACCTCAGGTGCAAAGGCAGGTGAATGAGTACATCTTCCAGATTCACGACCAGACTCTAACAAGTTTTTAACTAGCATACAATCTTCCTGCTATTTTCCTGTGTTAATCCTCTCATGCTATGAACTCAAACAGTATATGAGAATTCGTCACGCCAAGCTCACTGTGTTCTGTACATGTTTCCTTCCTCAGCCTCAGGTTTCAGTGTTTTCTTTATATGGCGCTACTTTCCAGAATGCACTCTGTCCAAACCTGTGCTCCACATCTCCTAGTCGAGTTCCAAGATTTATAGTCTCTACCTTAGACTTACAAAAGTGGGCGGTGAGGGACTGGGAGATGAGCACACTGCTAGCCTTGTGGGTAGAGGTCCTAGTTCTTAAGCCTGCAGGAGATGGTAGTGTAGGAAGAAAACATCCATTATTTCTTTAATGATACTATTTCATGACATTAAACCTGGTCATGACACAAACGGATGGTCTTTTTTTTTTCTAAAGCAATTCCATTTGTATTTTATTCCCTTTGTATTGTATTGCATTTATTTATCTATTTATTTATTGACAGGGCATTCCAAATCCTGATACTAGGTTGTCTATAAATCTTAATTTTTAATGATTTGGATTTTCTCTTATTCTGCTTCTTTATAAGTACTTTAGTGAGAAGCTGGGGAAGCCTGCATTGGGGGCTATTCACCAAGCAACATTCCAAACAAGAATTCTATAATGATCAATTTTTAGTAATCTTTTTGTAAAGATGGTTAAAATAATCGAATCATGGGCATTACTCTGTTAGAAACCTTAAAGATCATCCAGTCTAGTTTAATCTATCTGAGCTTTAGAACTTTCATAGAAGAATTTATGCCCAGGCAGACTCTCCCAGGTCTCCAATTTCATCAGCGGAAATTCTTACATTTTCCTACCAGCTTCTTTCTCTCCCCCTGACTGTAGGTCAGGGGCATATATACAGGGGCTCAGGAAGCTGTGTCCTAAGCATCTTGCCAACTTTCCTAAGAGAAGCTGGTACATTCAGTCACATCCCAGCCTTGAGCATCATCTGTCCACACCAGGATGTAGATTCACGTCTGTACCTTCCTTTCCTCCCTCCACCCCCAACTCTCACCACTCCTAGCAAAACATGCTAATCCCTGACAAATCCGGTAGGATTCCCATCTGCCGTATTCATATGATAAGTTGTAAGAAGACAAGTCAGGGTAATCATTGGGCCCACTTTTAGGGCAAGAAGTGGAGTGACAGAATTTGTTTATCTGTATTCGCCTGCTCCCTCTTCCCAACTAGACGAGGTGATAGCACTCAGGCTCCCAGACTCCCTCCCTCTCTTTCTCTCTGCACACACCCACCCCCTACACACATACTACCTGCACACACACACACACACACACAAAGAGAGTATTACTGGTGGCCTGATCCTGCCATGAACTTGATTCTCTTATAAGATCAGAATAAACCAGGTTTTCACAAATTATAACCCAAGGTCCATGAAATGTTAACATACATTACATGGAAACGAAGAACAATCTGCCAAACTACAAGAGCAACAAGAGTGGTGGTGGAGAGACGCTTTGTGTCAGATACATTTAGGAAATGCCAATCAGGCACAAATAGTCCTTGTAGCAGGAATTCTTAGGATCTTGGCTGAGCTAATGCACCCTGAGAATCTCCAAAACCCAGTGGACTGAGCAGTGTTTCTCACATTATTGAACCTAAATATCTCACAGGGATCTGAGCTTCCACCCAGAGCAGATTTTAGAAGGCGCAAATTGAACACCTTCCTCCATTCCCCCATTACAGGAATTATGAAAACCTGTATTTAAAGCCAGATTCTGCTATTTGGTATGCAGTCTCTGTTAGTAAACTATTCAGAGCTTGAGTTCCTTTTCTATAAGTATTTAAATAATAAAATGTATTTCACTGCATCATTGTTGAGGATTAAATGATAATTCCACTCAAGTGAAGACTCACTTCCGAAAAAAGATTTTCAAATATGGTAGTGAACTTGGTTAACACTGTCCAAAATGCATCTCCAACAAGTGGCCAGGCACTGGGGAGAATCTCCTGTGTCCCCTCAAACCTCTATGAGGCTGCGAAGCACCTAAACGTATTGGACACATTGAACACGAGTGGTAAAGCGCTAAAGACACTGCCAAAATGTAGAGGCCCTTGTGAAGCCAGAACTACACTTAGTACTACTGCCTATGTCAGCTCCCAGATTAGCATCTACTAACAAGAGGGCTCCTAAAGAGAGCTATGGCTGAGGAACACTGTGTGCAAGAGCCAGCTAATGGGGATAGTTTTTGACTCTCTGCTCTGTAACTCAGTAGGTGGAGATGGTTCTGAATAGTGTGTGAATCTCTTAGTACAATACCTAGAACATTGTAGGTACTTGATTTAAAAAGTATGTGTGGATTATTATGCACTCATTAAGTGAGCAATTACACTGTGCCAGGAACTAGGGATACAGTCCTTGTTCTCAGTGTATGGACATGTTCACTAAGAAGCCCATGCACAGTTTAAATAATATTAGATCATCCAAGCCTTGAAGGTCACTCTGATCCACTCTCTACCAGCCAGTGATTGAATTTACTCCACCTATTCCCCTAATGGTCACCCAGGCTCTGCGCACGTGAATGAAAATGAGGCTCTCTCTATTTTCCAAGGCAGCCAGTTCCATTTTTAGAGACTCTGACAGTGGAGTCACCTCTCTTGAAGTAAATCCAGGTCTCCAACACTGCCAACTTTGCTTCACAAGAGTAAATTGCATGTTGCAAATAACCTTGGTTGACCCACGTTATAATCTCAGCCAGCATATTTTCTGCTTTCTTTTTTAAACAGTAACTCATAGCTAAACCACTCCTCTTTATCTGCCATTCCTTCTGCCTGGTACCACTAGCAACCTCTGCCCTGCCTTTGTTTCAAATAGAGCTGATGCCACAATATCCAATGTGATTAACTACTATGTCTATTCGGCTGCTTGATTAACTGCAAGTCCACATGCCCTCCCGAACAGCAAGGACTCCCTTCCCTTTGTCATCACGGACACAGCCCAGGCAGTTTATGCTCACATCAGCGGGGAGGTCTGCTTCCCTTGGGGGGAAGGTGGCTGTTATTGCTGTCGAGCAGGAACAGCAGAAGGAGAGCTGCCTGCCCTTTGCTTCATCTGGTTCCCCACGGCCTGCATCAAAAGGAACGGTACGATTTCTATTTTCCCCTTAGTCAGAGCCCTGAAAAGAGAAGGTAGGAGGGAAGGGAGAGGCCTGCTAAGTATCTTGCAATATTCTTTCTCTTATGTTTGGAAGGGACAGACTCAAGTATTGGATTATTCTGGATATATTTTCTATCCAGATGATTGTAGGTGAGTCTTCTTATCTTCTGCCTTCTCTAGGCTCAGACTCAACAGCTGCTTGGAGGTCAGGAACTCATTGTATCAAGTCTCTCTTCTGGTCCTCACGCCTGCTCATTTGTTCTAACAATGCGTGGGCAAATCACTGTGGTTGGCTGTGTCGGCAAATAGATTTGGAGGACTAGGGAGTTTCCAGTCTCATTTTCAGGGCTATCACCTTACAGGGCAAACTGTAGCCTCAGTGTCTGGGCTCAAATTTGGTGGTGCCCTTTGCTGAAGGCGTGACTCGGGCAGGTTCATTCTCAAATGACTCAGGAAGCGATGTATTAATAACCCATTTAGGAAAGGAGAAAACTATTACTCAAGAGGTGACTTACCTAAAATCAAAAGCAAATGTATTCCAAGGTAAGATCTTAAATGTTAAGTCTGAGTCCAAAATCCCCGTCTCGGTCACTTGACCCAGCCCCCTGGTTAGCTAATAGGTGTGAGGGAATCCAGCCCAGTGGCGAGCTGAAACTCTTCCAGGCCCCGTTCATGGGTTTTCCTTGACAGTAACATGTTTTGCCTGTAAGTTCTATACCCTTTTCAGTGATGCTGATACAGGAAATAGCTCCCAAAGGGACTGAGTCAGACCAAGCTCCATTTTGCCTATAAGGCAAATTATATTAACCTCTTTGAGTCTTAACTTCTTTATCCAAGAAACAAGAAAGTAACATCTCTCCCAAATGGTAGTATCAGGATTAAAAGATGATGACTATGAAAGTGCCTTTTAATGATGGCTAAAGCACTTACACAAGTTTAAGGGGTTACTAGTACATTGCCGTTGCCACGATGCATCCGGGACTCTATGGGCGGAGCTTCTGTGTGACAACATGAGCTCCCCTTTTGCCAAATAATAAGGAATGTGTAGAGGAGACAGGAGTCCCCACTTCCAGATGTAAATAGAAAATGAGTGGCCTGGGTTCTTCCTGGCACTTTGTCATGAGACAGCGACTCCTTCTTCAGTGTGCAGAGAACAGCAAGGGAACAGAAGGCTCTGAGGCACCGTCATTAATGCACATTCCTCAGCGCTGGCAGAAGAGGCAGCCGGGGTTCTTCAGAATGGAAAAATTTGACTGGAGATTGGGCCAGGGGTCAGGAATGAAGATTATTTCTGCCGATGTTGGTATAGCTCATGTATTCTTCTGGTGGCATCTTTGGTCATATTACTTCTTCAATTACTCTATCACCATTATTTATTCAGCAAGTATTAAATAAACGTTTATTACGTTCCAGGCTCTAGAATTAGAGCAGTGAACAATATCAACAAGGACTCTCAATTCATGGAAGGGACCTTAGCGCAGGACGAGTCAAATAATAAACCATGAAGCAAAGATGGTGCAATGACTGCAAGTGGTTATATGTGTCATGAAGAAAATCCAAGGTGACAGAGCTGACAAGCATTGGTGAAAGGGCCTTTAGACTGGGTGGTAAAGAAAAGGCATGCTGAGGGGATGAGAACTTAATGGCAAGAAGGAATTAGCCAGGTGAACTGGAGGTTCTCCACTAGCCCCATCCATGCTCCACTCTTCCCTTCTCTGACCTTCTCCCCAGATGGTTTCCAGTGGGATTTGGCCAAAGGGGGACACCAGGACGCGGGAGGAGAGAAAACTGGGGCATTGATTCTCCTATTCTTCTTTGCTTAGTCCCTACGACTGAGCCTTTGCAGACTCAGAGACCGTGGGCCCCCACAACTACAGCTCTTGGTGGGGGGGGTCTCCCGCCCTAGCCCTGGTTCCTAGAGGCAGCAACTGCTTCTCACCACTGTACTCTCTAGATTTCTCACCTTTCCTGGTTGTTGCCTTAAGCCAACGCACACATCTGTTCCTTCATTATAGTCTCTGCATTAATAGATTTGGGGTGAATTCTGCTTCTCGCTGGAATCTGAACCAATACTCTTTGTGTAAATATAGGGACAGAACATTCCATGCAGAGGGAGCATCATTATTTTACAGACAAAATGAAGAGGATGATAACTAGCCTTTGTGTGGTGTTTTTACAGGTTAGAAAGTATTTTCACATGTATAATCTCATTTAAATCTCAAGACAGCAGAGAGAGTTTGGGCAGGTATTAATCCCATTTTATAAACAAGGAACCTGAAGCTCTGAGAAATAAAAGACTTGACAGTGGATGGTCAGTACTAGAGCCTAATCTCAAGTGCAGGTTTCTGGTTCATTTCCAGGCTCCTTCCTACCCCCTGTCACGTAAATAGGCAGGTGGTACAGAGAATCCAGGGGCATATCTCAGGGACCAGCTTATCAGCTTCAATAGCAGCTCACAAAATCTGTGCCAGCTAGAATCCTTATTTCGTTCATAAAACTGCATGGATCTTCAAGAGTGCAAAAACTCCTCCTGAGATCAAAAGTGACCAAGGTAATCATCCATTCTTATTGTAGCTAAAGCCATGCGATTAGACCTTATCAGTTGATACTTCTGTTTCAGAGTACCTGCATTCCCAGCTTACTCAAAACATTCCTTTCTCCTATTTACAAATAGTCACAAATAATTTATTTTGAAGAAACTGGAGAGGCTGGCTATTTGTTAGAATCATTTGATAGGAATAAATGTTTTAATAGAATTATTCTAAAATTCAAATAACTCATACATACTTGATGTATTTTGAATTGAGAAGTTTGTATAAATGGTTCTCTTAAAATGAACATACCTTCACAGTTGCCTTTATGAGCAATATAATATGACTCTAAAACTAACAGAAAAATTTATTCTTCAAAGTGGATAGAGTAAGCCACAGAAAAATCTCATTTCCAGTAGTAGATCTTCCTTCCAAGACTTCCACAAGCCACTTCCTCATTAACTTATCATTTTCAGTGTAAAATATCTACATGACCCTCTGCAGTACACCAATAGTTAGTCCTCTGGGGGTTTCCAAGCCAGATTGAACATCTGGATTTTGCAGCACAGCCTAAATGTCACCAGATTCAGAGTGGGAAAAGTCGATGGATAGATGGGCATATGACAATATGCAGCCACCGAGACAGACTGCTCCTGCTGGCCCAGGCCAGCCTCTGAAAGCTTGGGCACATTGAGATGGATGCATTGTTATATGGGTGAATTGTTATATGGCTTTGGAAAAAGTCAGTGTTTCCATTTCTTTCTCTCCCACTTGGCATTTTGGAGCCTGCTGTCAGGATTCACACTGATTTTTGGCTTGGTTTCTAGAGGCTTTTTTTCCCCCAACTACAGTTGAGCTTAAAGAAAAATAGCTCAAAAATTGTTAAAAAGAAAGGAAATTATGTTCCAGATGGTTTTGAAGAACTCTAAATTGACCCAGAGCCCAAGAAAAGGCCTTGCATTTATAGAACATTGAGGAGAATGGCATTCTCACTTGGTCATAAAAGAAACAGTGAAACTGCCCTGACCATCCATAAGAATGTACTCTCGCATTTCACCTAGGCAAGGTGCTAAGTGAAAATGATTTATTAGAAGGTTACTGGAGGAATGAAGGAATCAGGGCAATGTGGAAGGTCAGGGCCTGGGACCAGTGACTTAGCACCATCCCAGCTTTCTGTCCATCTACCTTTTATATCAGTCATTTGCTCCAACTAGTGCACACAAGCTTCCTCCTTGAGGCAGAGAACGTGGTCACGATCCACGGTTGGGAGAGTGGGAGTCTAGTCACAAAGGGAACAACATCTTTCCTGCTGAATCCAGTTAGAATAAACCTCAGAGAAGTAACCTGATGATCCAGTTCGGGTCACACATTCTTCCCCTGACCCTTCACTGGGTCCAAGGCGGATGGCACTGTCCAAATCAGAGTCTGGCTGTGGCGAGGGGAGCAGCCATGGAGGAGAGTGGTGGAAGGGCCTGCACAGATGCGAACAATGTCGCCACGGCAGCTAAAGCAGGCCTAAGAGGGTGAGTTGGCTTGTGTTAATCACGCTTCATATCCCAAATAATGTACAAGTCAAAGATGGGGCACACATTTTAAAGTTGGGGACAGACTTCTGATTGCATTTAGAGTGGAGGGCAAACAGCTCAGTATAGCCTACAGATGCTGTCACATGCAGTATGCCACCTCCCAGCCTCGCCTGGGGTCCCCCTCTCTATCTAATCACATTGCTCTCCTTTCAGGTCCTGGAGCACAGCAGGTTTTTTCCCTCCTACGGATTTAATTCCCTCTGCCTATAAGGTTTCTCCCTTGCTATTTGTATGGTTAAGACCTTGCCATACTTCAGGGTTCCTGTCGTCAGAGAAAGCTTTGCTGACTATCCTGTTTAAGTAAGCCTTACTCTATAATTTATCAAGAGTGCTTTGCTTAGCTTTCATGGGACTTTACCAGCCTGTCATTGCTGTATTTGTTTGCTTGTATAATCATTCATCTGGCCTCTTGACTAGACTGTAAGCTCAGTAAGGGTAGGAACCATGTCTGAATCTTTCATCACTATATTCCCAGCATCTGTGAAGGTGCCCCACCCACAGTAGGGGCTCATAAGTATTCGTTGAATGAATGGATAGATGGATGGATACACTGTCCAGATGAATGCAGCAGCAAGAAAGGAATAAAAATGAAAAATGAAACAATCCAAAAGGTGAAAAGGATTCAGAGTGGATCCTGGTGGGCTGTGTGGGACCCTCACAGGGCTGCCATGTTCACAACACCAGGGGGCGCCATTTGCATAGACTACAAGGATGCTGGGAGCCCCTAGAGTTAGTATTGTCTAAACCACACAGTGCCACAGTTTGGCACATCTCCATGTTAGGAATAAATGAATAAATTCTAGAAAACCACAGACCCTTTGAGCTGTCTCCAACTTGAGACCAGTGCTTCCTAAGTCACTGATGAAAAGA